AAACCTACACTTATCTTACCCTTGGCCTGTGCCGTAAAATGACAGGCCCTTTTTCACATATTTGAGAGGTATTTTGGGATTTTTAAACTGGAATATGCATGTGGCTTTTAAAACATGTTTGCAGTTTTCATGCTATTCTCCTTTTGAGAAGTGGAGTCTGTGCTCACACTCCCTGGTTAACCAGACTTGACACTAGTGGTTACTTTTCACTGGCAGATGATGTCGAAGTAATTTGTGTAACTTCTAAAATTATGTTAGAAATGCCATGAGCATATGCCTGCTTCAGTTGGGACACACACCAGTATCTGAATGTCCCAAGACTGCCTGCTGCTGGGAAGTCCCGTAAGTTCTCCAGCCAAGCCCAAGTTCCTCTGTGGACCTGAGCACGACGTCACATCCAGATGATTCCAATCCCCTGCTGTGGATTCCATCCCACTCCGTGTGACTTCTCTGCAGTCCCCAGACATCAACATGCACAATAAGCTCTCTTTTCTGTGTTTTGCCTGAATTCCTGTCCCTGTGAAGCATTAGCAAATTGAAATGTTTCTTTTCTATCAGCATTTGGGGATATTAGTTTTTTTATTAAAAAAAAATCACAGTAAAGTCATCAGGAATAACACACTTGCAGGTCATTCACGAGGTACAGAAGAATGCACACTGAAATCTGGGCTTGTCTTTCCCTCTTCTGCAGCCTGCCACCTTCTGCCTCTGGAAGTAACAACAATGAAGCTTCTGCACATCTTTCTAGATTTATTAATTGAACAATCATGTAGTACTGACACCATGACAAAGCTTTGTAAAAGGGCTTTGACTATCAATGTAAAAGACTTATTTATTTTCATATACTGTGAACACTCAGGTGGCAGCAGGAAGGAAAGCCTTATGCTCATTCCTTTGTATTCTTCCTAATATATTCGGTTTTTAAAAATTTCTTTCCTATTTTGGCATTAAGAGATATAAATCTGTTGTCTACATTTTTAATTAAGTTTTCTCTCTCACACACACATATGTGTATATTTATATGTGCACACCCCCACATTTTTCTATTCAGTTGTTGATAATTAAAATTCTCCATTTTCACAGGTATGTTCCTTCCCAAATCCTGTTAACCACCCCTTCAATGAGATAATCCCTGAAAAAAAATTGCAGTATGGACCGTGCATGGTGGTGCACGCCTGTAATCCCAGCACTTTGGGAGGCCGAGGTGGGCAGATCACGAGGTCAGGAGTTCAAGACCAGCCTGACCAACATGGTGAAACCCCCATCTCTACTAAAAATACAAAAATTAGCCAGACGTGGCGGCACACACCTGTAAACCCAGCTAATGAGGAAGTTGAGGCAGAAGAATTGCTTGAACCTGGGAGGTGGAGGTTGCAGTGAGCTGAGATTGCACCACTGCACTCCAGCCTAGGTGACAGAGTGAGACTTCATCTCAAAAAAAAAAAAAAAGTATATCAATGCAGTTTTTTTGTTTTTGTTTTGTTTTTTTTTACCTGATCTATGACCCATTTGATTTAATAATTTTTAAAACCTATGATGAATCAACACTGATGGAAATTTGTACTGAGTTATTTTACATCTATTTTTTTTCCTTTGAGACAGTTTTGAACTGCTGCCCAGGCTAGAGTGCAGGGGCAGGATCTCTGCTCACAGAAACCTTCACCATCTGGGTTCAAGCCGTTCTTCTGCCTCAGCCTCCGAAATAGCTGGGATTACAGGTACTTGCCATCACACTCAGCTTGTGTGTGTGTGTGTGTGTGTGTGTGTGTGTGTGTGTGTGTGTGTGTGTGTATGTGTGTATTTTTAGTAGAGATGGGGTTCCCCAATGTTGGCCAGCCTGGTCTCGAACTCCTGACCTCAGGTGATCTACCTGCCTTGGCCTTTCAAAGTTCTGGAATTACAGATGTGAGCCACCATGCTTAGCCTCATTTTATATCGTAATGGGTAGTGTCTACCTTTTTAAAAAAAATTACAATTCTCATTTTCCAAAAATTTTATTTCTATTATGTTTTGGGGGTTTTTCAATTGCCTTCAAAGTGTTAATTCCCATGGTCAGAGCATAGGAATGTGTGTGATCAGGTGTTGACTGATGAACCAGAATGCATCTTTGATCCTGGAGTTCGAGGTTATCAGAACTCTCCATTTAGAAAAGCGTGCTTTATATATTTTCAAACAACCCATGATGAACACACAGTGCAGATTTCTTATTCATCTGTCAATGAATATCCCGCCTTATATATATATCGTCAGAGAAATCTCTAAGTGAACTCAAGAGATTCAGAAATCAATATGCAAACTTAGTTGCATACAGAGAAAAAAGGAGGTGTAATATGCGTAGTAGATTTTATACAATTAATAAGAATTACATTATCAGAGATTAACTTTAAAACTGAACTTATGTATTTTAAATTTAATTTGGAGCTAGTTTAAAATTGTTGAACGTAGGAATGTGGTGACTCAGGAATAGTAGAAATGGGTAGGAATGACATTTCAGATCAAGCATGGAATCTCCCTTTATTCTCAGTGTATTAGGTTTTCCTTTCTTCACCCTGAAATTTTCACCATCAAATATATATTGGGAGGCAGATCATTTTTTTCCTTTAATGTTTATTTCTTTTTTTTTTAGGTGTTAAATTCATAAGCATTTATTAAGCATCCATTAGTATTAAGCTCTGTGCTAGGTATTGAACATAGCAAGTTAATCATTCTTTGTCCAAGTGCTCTGAGCTCACAGTGGTGGGGGAAGGGAAAGAGCAGAAAACAATTACCTTTAAAGGTACAAGACAAACACAGATCAATGCTACTACCCAAATTTAAACAATCAAAAGTACAGGAGACAGAAAACTGAGCTATATGTATAGAGAGAATTGGAAAGGCTTTGTAGAGGAGGTAACATGAGTAAGCTGGCCTTGGAAGGAGAGGTTATGTTTACAAGTAGAGTTCTGGGTTAAGTACTTTCTAACAGACCTTACTTGAGGGATTTGCTCCATTTTTATCTTTTATTTTCTCCTGCTGTCTAGTCTGCTTTGCCATCCAACGATCCAGCCCTTTATCTGTTTTCTTGGAACTAGTCTATGCTAAGTTACCACATTTACAAAGGATAATTACCTTTTATTTTTAAAAACTTATTTCTGCAGGGATAGTATTTGTGAAGAAAGAATTTTCATTTTTTAGAATTTGTTTTAGCCAAGTCAACAAAGGAAGATTCCTGTAGCCCATCTGTTAGAACGCAAAAATAGTCTTCGCTATGTAGAAACAGATGTTTAAAATGGTATTCATTAAAATGGATTCCACCTGTAATAGAAAACAGAGCGTGTATGCAAAAGGAATGTTGTAAGCTGACAGTACTCACTATCACTTTCCATTAGGAACGTATATTTATGGGTAAAATCTTACTAATAGGAATATGCTTCTGGTTTTAGTGCCTAGTGACAGGGCTACGCAATTACCCTAGACTCCTTAGGAGGATAGAAGTCAAGGGAAAAAAATAATTCTGGAGTGAGTGTCTTCTTACCAATGAACAAAGTTATCTTTGATAGAAAATTCATGACTGCCCTATATTAGTGATAGAAATTAACATTTACCGATTACCTTCTGTGTTAGCTGCTTTATTGTTTACTTTTAGAAGAACCCTATAATGGAGATATTATCCTTATTCTATAGGTGAGGAATTTGAGAATGTGCAATAGATTAAATAACTTGTCCAAAGTCACAGCTAGACTGGAATCCAAGACTCACATTCCTAAGCCAATGTGCTCTTTCCACTATTTTGTTGCCAAATGACAGGAGTTTGGCCTAGGCCTTATTGCTCTCCATATAGAAAGCCAATCACTGAGAAGGGGAATATTGCCCAGAAAGGAAAGCTTTACTGCAGATGATGCCAACCTAATCATCAAATCTGTCTCCCCTTAACTGATAAAAATTATGGGCTTGTATAACAGGGAAGGAAAACAGGAGGGACTAGGAAGGGGAGCTGATCAACAAGGAACAGGTGCATCTCATTTTTCAGGTGTGGCGATCTGGAAAGCCTCAGCTCCCTGCTACTATCTGGGAGGCCTGATGGTGGTTTCCTGAGAAAGAAACTCTGACAAGACAAACGTAAGTTTCTCAAGCTTCAGTTTTATGGGAAATTGGGCTAGTTTTAATTTCACACTGTTTTTGCAACAATGGAGGCACAAAGAGTTTAAGTCACCTACACTATCAAGTGGCATATTTGGGATGTAAATCCAGGGCTCTCTGATTTCAAAACCCACACCCATGTCCCTCTTCTATATATTTTTACTCTTTGCCTCTAGTTCATTTAGCCCCATTTATGGCATACAGAAAAAGCAAACACCGTCTAGTGGAATAGACAGAGTTCTAAATTATAATTAGCTAGCCCAGGCTAGTTTTTTTTTTTTTTTTTTTTTCCGCTGCAACCTCCACCTCCTGGGTTCAAGCGATTCTCCTGCCTCAGCCTCCAGAGTAGCTGGGATTACAGGTGCCCATCATTGCATTCAGCTAATTTTTGTATTTTTAGTAGAGACGGGTTTTCACCACCTGCCTCGGTCTCCCAAAGTGCTGGGACCACAGGCGTGAGCCACTGCGCCCAGCCATGCTAGCATTTATAACTGTAAGCAACTCAGAAAAGCATTATGCAAGCTGGTGAAAACACATAAGCCATTTTTAATGGCTATCAAAGGGAGATTAACTTTATTACTTCTTAAATCATAGCTTTTCACTTGATGCAACAAATATTTGTTGATTTCTTACTTTGTGTGAGGCATAGGAGAACTCAGACAAAAGTTTCTGTCTTCATAGAGTTTGCATCCTGATTGGAGATGCAGGCAATAAGATAAATGTAAACAATTTATTTTACCTTGCAAAAAAAGACAAATATAAATCAGAAAAATATCTTGCACATTAGTTGATAAGTGTTGAAGAGAAAAATAAAGTAGGGAGCAGGAGTGGTGGCTCATGCCTGTAATCCCAGCACTTTGGGTACACACAGAATAATATTGTGGGTCTGGGATTCAGTTTTGAAATAAACATGCAGTCTAAGTGACTCCCCTGTCCATGTGAAAGTGGCCTGGTCTAGATCAAGCAGTTGGGCCCCATATTGTGACATGCATGCTTGCAAAAATTCTATGGTGACCTGTTGCTGAGGTGATCTGATGATGTAGGTCTTGCCTTTGATTTCAGGTGCTATTCTGGCAACCAAAGGTTGGCAGGTAAAAGCAGCTTGGAAATTTTCTCTGGCTCGCAAGATGGGGAATGTTTCTAACTGTTGTCTCAGAGGTATGTATGTTCATTTTTATCTCCTGACTAATGTCTTCAGATGGGCCAGTTTTCCTGTATATTAAATGTCATTCTGATTTTTAAAAATTTCCCCAATTACTGTTTGTCTACCGGTTTTTAAATATGTTTTAGAGTTTTATTACTCAGTTTATAGTTTTCATTCTATCAAGATGTTTTATATGTTTTTTTCTCTAGGAAGAATTACTGTTTCCCATGCCAATTTTTTTTATACACATGCTTCCATAGAGTAGATAGAGAAGACAGACATATAACATCACTGCCTTCATCAGAATCTTGATACCAAATACGGTATGAGACATTCCATGAAACACCAAAGTCTTCTGAATACAGATGTCAAAATCTGAAAACAAGTATTAGAGCAGTTTAAAATAGGAGATTTTTAGAAAATAAAAATAAATTTCATGATGGGAAACACTTTTGCTTAATTTAGAAGTTTTGAGGAATTCTTTTAAATTTTTTTAAAAAGATAAATCAAACTAAAAGAACATAAAAAGTTAAGAAATAGGAAACATTATTAGAAGTCATGTAAGATTTATGAGAATTTTACCTTGCAGTGAAAACTGCCTGGCATTAGATAAATTGGTTCATAAGGTCTTATTAAAATTAGCTATAATATTAAAAATACACTAATGCAAAACTAAACTTTTGGTTAAAAAAGCTATTCTTAAGACAATAATTTGCTCTCAATGAGATTACAAGAGGTAATAATTTTTCACTCTCAAATCTGTTTCTTTTTGGAACTTCTCAGATTTATGCCTCAGAATTTCAACTTGTACCACATCTCTTTACAGATGCTTTACAGGTCACACATCATTGCCTTCTGTTTCTCTTCCACTTGAAAACCTCGATCTTTTTGCTTGGCTAGGATGAGAACTGTCTCCTTCAAAGTTTCAGCAGCAGCTTTAACTTCCGTCATGCCCCCCCACAGGTTTTTTGATAATTTGTGAATTGTTTCGTATGCACAGGAAACATCTCATGCTGATAGTAAGAGCCATGTATCTTTCTGTTGAAGTTACTAAATTTTCTGTTTACATTCATCTAATGTCAACTATTGGCCGAACACTACGTCTAAATAAGTTTGAGTACTCTTTTCATCACATGTGACTTCTACATTATTTCAATATATTTGCCTGAGACTCTCAGGCAGTGCTTAGTCCAGACTGCTCAGATGGTTGTGCAGAACAATAGCCAGTGAGACATTGGGGGTTAAATATTTAATTCACTAAACCACTGAAACACCAACTTGGGTGGCCACATTTTCAGTTAATTCCCATTAACTGCTTGTCCAGGGTTGATCAGTTGAAAGGAAGTTGATTCTTGGCACAGCCATCAGGTGGCAATTGGTTTGGAATGTCCTGAGATCTGAACTAGCTTGAGAGCCAAGCAGAACTTGGTACCTTGGGGTGGTCAGTTGGTTATGGAGGGGTGCTCACTGCCAGACAGCCGACGGTTCTGGGCTCTGGGTAAGATGAACAGATATTTAAATTTGTTTCTCAGAAAGGCTTTGTTTGCAGGAAACTTCCATATTTTAGCCCAGGAGTTAAAACCTAGAGACAGGAGTTTTGTTTAATGATTTGAGCTCTTCTCTGGACTCAGCCACCTCTTCTAGGACATCAGCCTTTGTGAACAGTCCTTGATGCAGAAGGATTGAGAAAGGGAGTGGGGAAAGAGCTCCAAGTTCAGGGTCCAGGCCATAATTTAGAGGCCTTAGTTGTTCAGGGATTTCTGTCCTGAGAAAACCAACCAAATGCTTGTCCCAGATCTATCTTTCATCAGTGTCATGGCTCTACACAGGTCACTTCAAATCTCTTTATTTCACTTCCTTGAACTGTCAGCTCTGGGTGGCAGTCTCCCAAGTGCCCTCTCTCTACCACTACCAGGGGCTTGGCTTATTCTTCCAGACATAAAATAGTTGAGCACTTTATGGCACTTAGGAAGCACCCACCTTCTTAAGGCTTTATGTCCACGTCATTATTTTTACCCTTTTAACATAATATAGGCCATTATCAACATTTCCCCATTCAGACCAGGGAGTGGAGGCACAGAGGGGACTATAGAACTTCCTCAGGTTTGAGCAGCTTCTCAAAAGGCCTTGATCTTATGTACCAGACTCTATGCTCTTGGTCACTCCAATATACTACCTTTCCCTAATGTCTCATCTCAATAAAGGTAATGCCTGTACAGTTATATGTGCAACTTTTCTGATTTTCTGCAGCAAGATATCAACAACTGTCTTCATTTTAATTCCTTTCTTAGCATGTTGCATCGAGGAACAGGGAGTGGATCCCGGGTTCACTGGAGAATCCACTGTCTGCTGCTGCAGCCCTAAGAAGGGAATCCTTTGTTACAGGCCTCCCATCCGTTTACGCCCTAGAGTTACATCAATGGAAGGTATTGTGGAAATTCATTCAATTCATTCATGATACGATTTCTAGATTCTTCAGTGTTTCATATTTCAGAAAATTATAAAATTGCTCTATTATATTCTTTATGTCATGTGTGCAAATTTAAATGTATTAAGACAATCACTAGGCTGGGCCCAGTGGCTCATGCTTATAATCCTAGCACTTTGGGATGGTGAGGAGGATAGATCATGAGGTCAGGAGTTCGAGACCAGCCTGGCCAATGAGGTGAAACCTCGTCTCTACTAAAAATACCAAAAAAAAAATCTAGCTGGGTGTGGTTGTGTATGCCTGTATTTCCAGCCACTCGGAAGGCTTAGGCAGAAGAATTGCTTGAACCTGGGAAGCCTCTTCCCGAGTTCCAGTGAACCTACATCATGCCACTGCACTCCAGCCTGGGTGACAGAGCAAGACTCAGTTAAAAAAAAATAAAAATAAAAGACAATAACTAGTCCTACAGCTACAGGAATAAAAGTGCATTTCCATTCCAGGACTGGATTTCCTTTTAATAGTAAAGAACATCTCAGTGCAACTTGTAGACATTTTGCTGATTGTTAAACATTAAGTAAAACGGATTTTTTCCTGAGACAGTGTTGCCAGGTATTTTAATTAATGGATGTCAGTTCAAACTGTTTTGAATTAACCTAAAAATGAGGGAAGTAGTACAGAAAATTTCCATATACTCACCTTCCTCAGTTTTCTTTTGTGATCACATTTTAAGTGCATGTGATAACACTTGTTACAATGTTACAGTTGAACCAACAGTGATACATTCTTACTAATGGAACTCTAATAGAGTTAGCATCTACTTTCACTCTGTGTTGTCCTGTCTGGGGGTTTTGACAATCTCATGATGTTATTTATCCCCCTGACAGAATAGTTTTGTGTCCTAAGCATGACCTGTGCTGCACCTATTAATGCCCGTCTTCTGAGGACTCCTGACAACCATGGATGCTAAGTTTCTGTTCTTAACCTATCAGCTTCACAGACACCAGCCCCCTGTCCCCAACACCCAAGGTCGCCTATGGGATTTTTTTTGGTGGAACCAACATATGGACAGTCTGTGTTTCCTAGATCACAAAAGGAAAAGTTTGGTTTCTACCAGTATTTGGGGATATTATATTAGGGGTGTGTGTGTGTGTGTGTGTGTGTGTGTGTGTGTGTTTGAGATGCAGTCTCACTGTATCGCCTAGACTGGAGGGCAGTGGTGTGATCTTGGCTCACTGCAGCTTCCTTCTCCCAGGTTTAAGCAGTTATCCGCCTCATCTTCCTGAATAGCTGGGATTACAGATGTGTGCCAACATGCCTGGCTAATTTTTTGTTGTTGTTTTGTTTTGTTTCATTTTGTTTTTGAGATGGAGTCTTGCTTTGTTGCCAGACTGGAGTGCAATGGCTCAATCTTGGCTCACTGCAACCTCTGCGTCCCAGGTTCAAGCAATTCTCCTGCCTCACCCTCCCGAGTAGCTGGGACTACAGGCTCCGACCACCAAGCCCCATTAATTTTTGCATTTTTAATAAAGATGGAGTTTCACCATGTTGGCCAGGATGGCCTTGATCTCCTGACCTCGTGATCTGCCCAGCTTGGCCTCCCAAAGTGCTGGGATTACAGGCATGAGCCACGCCTGGCCTTTTTTTGTATTTTTGGTAGAGATGTTGTTTCACCATCTTGGCCAGGCTGGTCTTGAACTCTGACCTCATAATCCACCTGTCTGAGCCTCCTAAAGTGCTCGGATTACAGGCACCCACCACCACTCCTGGAAAATCTTTTGTATTTTGAGTAGAAACGGGGTTTAACTATATCGGCCAGGCTGGTCTCGAACTCCTGACCCTTGTGATCTACCAAGCTTGGCCTCCCAAAGTGCTTGGATTACAGGCCTCAGCTACTGTGCCTGGCCTTTTTTTTTTTTTTTTTTTTTTTTTTTTTTGACTTCCATAGACTGGATACTGAAGAAACCATTGAAACACCAACTTGGGTGCCACATTTTCAGTTAATTCCCATTAATTGTTTATTCACAGTCGTTAGTTGAAGGGAAGTTTATTCTTAGGACAGCCATCAGGTGGTAGTTAATTTGGAATATCCTAAGTTCTGAACCGGCTTGAGAGCCAAGCAGAACTGAGTCCCTTTGTGTGGTCAATTGGTTTTGGAGGGGTGCTCATTGCCAGACTGCTGACAGCTCTGGGCTCTGGGTAGGATGAACAGACATTTGAATTTGTTCCCCAAAAAGGCTTTGTGTGTGTGTGTGTGTGTGTGTGTGTGTGTTTGAGATGGAGTCTCACTGTATTGCCCAGACTGGAGGGCAGTGCCATATTTTAGCCTAGGAGTTAAAACCAAGAAACAGGAGTTGTGTTTAATGGGTTGAACTCTTCTCTGGATTCAGCCACCTCTTCCAGGACATCAACCTTCCTGAAGAGCCCTTGGTGCCGGAGGAATCAGAAAGGGAGTGGTAAATGCTCCAGGTTCAGGGTCCAGGTTATGATTTAGAGGCTTCAGGTGTTCAGGGATCTCTGTCCCCAGAAAATCAACCAAATGCTTGTCCAAGATCTATCATTCATCAGTGTCATGACTCAAGGCAGGTTGCTTCAAATCTCTTTATTTCACTTTATTGAACTGTTAACTCTGGGTGGCACCTCCTGCTCTGCCCATGTCTCTGGGCTGATGTGAGCATCACAGGAAAGAACATAAATTTTTCACAACTTCTAAAACATGGACCCATGTCAAGAATGAAGAAAATTTTACCCTCCACTGTCCTGGAGTCCCCCAAGTGCCTTCTCTGTGTTTACCACTACCAAGGGCTTGGCTTATTCTTCCAGACATAAAATAGTTGAGCACTTTATGGCACTTAGGAAGCACCCACCTTTGTAAGGCTTTATGTCCGCTTCACTATTTTTACCCTTTTAACATAACATAGGCCATTATCAACATTTCCCCATTCAGACCAGGGAGTGGAGGCACAGAGGGGTCTATAGAACTTCATCAGATTTGAGCAGCTTCTCAAAAGGCCTTGAGCTCAGACCTTATTGCCAGATCCTATGCTCTTGGTCACTCCAATATACTACCTTTCTGTAATGTCTCATCTCAATACGGTATTTGCCTGCAGTTATAAGTGAAACCCACAGTGCAAGTTCTTTCTGAAGCCCAACTCAGATTCAGGGGGCTTTGCTCTGCAGAAGATGAACAATGGGATCAAACAGTTAAGCTGTGAATAAATAAATGCTCATTTATCTGATCTTCTGCAGCAAGATATCAACAGCTATCTTTATTTTAATTCATTTCCCAGTGAGTTCCATCCACTATGGGAGAGTGGATCCAGGGATCAGTGAAGAATCCACTGTCTGTCACTGCAAGCGTAAGAAGGGAATTTCCCGTCGCTGGCTTCCCAGGTGTATACACCCTAGAGTTGCACCAATGGAAGGTATAATGGAAATTCAGTCATTCAGTTCATTCATGATACTATTTCTAGATTCTTCAGTGTCTCTAATTTCAGACAATTATAAAATTGCTACACTATATTCTTTATTTTATGTGTGCAGATTTAAATGTATTAAGTCAATAGCTATTGCTACAACTACCAGAGTAAAGGTGTATTTTTTTTTATTCCTGATTTGGGTTTACTTTTAATGATAAAGAACACCTGAGTTCAACTTGTAGACATTTTGCTGATTGTTAAACATTAAGTAAAAAGAATGTTTTTCTGAGATAATGTTGCCAGGTTTGTAAAGTAATGGACATCACTTCAAACTGTTTTGAATTAACCTAAAAATGGAGGAAGTGGTACAGAAAATTTCCATATACTCACCTTCATAGGTTCCTTTTTGTGATGACATCTTACATGAGTGTGATAACACTTGTGACAATGACTGTGCCAATAGTGATACATTCTTATTAGTAATAGTCTAGGGTTAGCATCAAGGTTCATTCTGTGTTGTCTGGTCTATGGGTTCTGACAAACTCACAATGTCCTTTGTTACCCTAGCAGAATAATTTCACATCCTAAGCATAACCTGTGCTGCACCTATTAATTCCTGTCTTTTTTCCTGATGATTCCTGAAAACCATGGATGATTTTACTGCCTGCATAGGTTTCCTTTTCCAGAATTTTATAGAGGTAGAATCATAAGCGTATGTACCTCCTCATGACTAACTTACTTTACTTAGCAATATACATGTAAGATCTTGTATATCTTTTTGAAACTTAACAGGTTAAAATTTTTTGTCAGTGAATAATATCTTATTGGGTTTGTTGAACAGTGTCAGTTGGTTCATTTACCTCCTGAAGACCATCTCAGCTGCTCCTTCCAGTCTGGACAATTATGAATAAAGCTGCCCACATTCTTGGGCACATTTTACGATGAACATAATTTTTAAATTCAGCTGGGTAAATACGTAGAATTTTGATCACTTGCTGGTAAGACTATATTTTCCATTTTAAGAGTTAGGTAGAATTCAACCGTAAAATTGAACGGGCATGTTTTCTTAAAGTTACTACTTAGTGATTTAATTCTATAATAGATAGAAGCCTACCCAGACTATCTGTCTCTCCTTTGGATGGTTATGGTAGTTGCTTCCTTTGAAGGCATTTGTCCATTTCATCTAAGCTAGAAAATCAGTGGGCATAGACACTTGAAACTCGCAAGTTGCCTGCTTGGTTCTCTTCAAAGGGTACTGCCCTTACTGTCAATCCTTCTCTAGAAGTTTTTAATAAAGTTTCACTCCTACACTAAAACAAATTGCAGGCATAGATTTGTTCAACTTATTCTGTTCTTATTTTCTTAATGTTCATGGGATCATCAGGGATAATTCCTCTTTTAGTTATATTATTTGTACATTGTGTCTTTTTTTTTCTTTTTAAAGCCAAAATGTTTTTTATTGACTGTTAATTTATAAAACTTTCTTTTGATAAACGTACATAAATGTAATAATATAATGGTTATTAAACCAACATTATACTTTCGTTTTTTTATTCTGCTATGTAGTCCTGTGCTTCATGGAATACCAGAGGCCATCCCGTGGAAGATAGCTATCATCGTTTACATTCCTTTAAGAAATAAAAACTGTCTTCTATCTTTTCTTTGTGATTAGCCTGGCTGGAGGTTTACCAATTATATTGATCTTTTCTAAGAAGCATCTTTTGGTTTTGTGGTTTTTTTTTATTATTATTAATTCTATTACATTGATTTCTGCAAACACTGCTATATTTTGGGGTAGGGGGGTTGCCTAGTTTACATGACACTACACTTTTTTCTCTAGTTTCCTAAGGTAGAAAATAAGACATCTGGATATGGACTATTTTTAGTTTACTGCACAGAATTGTGCACAGTACTAATGCCACTGAAGTGTGCACTTGATTATCAAAATAATAAATATTATGTATTTTGGCCACAATAATGATTTTAAAGCCAATAAAATGGATAAGTGCAGGAGGAGCATATGTATATCCAGGAAAGATGAATGACATAACATTTCAAGAACAAAAAAAAAAATGGACATTTACCAGGCCTCAAATTGCACAGGGGGATGATGGGACACTGTCATGGAATCACCAGCGCATTTGTGTGTCACCCTCTGTGAACACTGCCTATTTCACAGTGGTGAGGGAGTCTTAGCCAGAGAACCAGGCCCTGATCTGTGGCTTTCCTGATGGTCTCATTTGCCTTTCCTCATCATCAAGGAAGGTGTCCCAGTGGCAGCCAAGTTTCTGTTCTTAACCTACCTCCTTCACACACACCAGCCTCCTGTCCCCAACACCCCAGGTTGCCTAAGGGATTCCTTCAGTGGAACAGACATGCTGACAGTTACTCTGTGTTTCCTAGATCACAATGAGGACCTGATGCAGGAGCCTTCATCTGAGGCTGTCCCAGGCATTCGCATGGTAAGTTCTTTTTTCTTTGTCTAAGATGGAAATTTTGTTGCTCTTGCTTTTTTAAAATTTTATTTGCTTTGACATATGAAAATCTTACCACATACATTATAGATGACTTACAGAATTTTTTTGTGGGAAAATGTGAGGGTTCATTACCAGGTAAGAAATGATCTCAGATGACATTCTTAGATAACACCTTCAGTTAGGAACTGTATGGCAGCAAGCATTTTTTTTAGGGGAAATCTTTCTTCTTAAATAATTGTAACTGTACAACCAAAACAGTCTTGAAAGTCTTGCATAAAAATCTTGTGCCTTTCCAGTATTATGTTGTAGGCTTTATTTTGGAGCCATTGCCTCAACCACTATCTCCCATATGCTTTTCTAATGTCAACAAGTAAAGAAAAGATCTATATGGTGAAAGCCAATCTCTACTAAAAATAGAAAAATTAGCCATGCATGGTGACCAGCAGCTCTAATCTCGGCTACTGGGGAGGCTGAGGAACAGCAGATTCACTTGAGCACAGGAGGCGGAGGTTGGCAGTGAGCTGAGTTTATGACACTGCACTCCAGCCTGGGTGATAGAGTGAGACTCCATCTTAAGAAAAGAAAAGAAAGAAAAACCCCATGCATACAGGACACAGCATGGTCTGATCCTTATACCGTTTTCATTTATTCTCTAAATGCAGGTGGATACAGTCACACAGACAAGCAGTACGTATTCTGGGATCACCCTGATGCTAAGGAAAAATTCTAGTGTTGAGAAAGGTGACGCTTCCTTGCCTCCTTTTTCTGGAGAGCCACTCTGGTTTGAATTTCCTGCCAGAAATGAGGTTCTAGCAGTTTTCTCTTAAAAAGTGAAGATTCCAGCCAAGAAATTTGGGACCATCTACTCTAGTGCCTGGAAGGAACAGTGCATTTAGGTAGAAGAGGGTGGTTGATGTGCATCAGGGTTGGGAAGTATGGAGGATAGAGTCAATGCAAAGTGATTGTGACTGTCTCTGCGAGTTTGTGTGCTTTACCCAAGAAAACATGTTCTCATGTGCAAAGCACAAACAAAGATTAATATTCTAAAAATGAAACTTAATTACCACTATATTTTTCCATATATCAATCCATTCATTCTCCACCATAGCTGTAACTGAAGGTGAGTTTAACATCCCCAGTCCTCATATGAAGATGATGTAGAGATGATTTTTTTTTAAACTTTTGCTCACCTAAATGGAAATGGCAAAGACAAACTCGGGAATAGGTGGGAGATTGATGCTCTGGGCTGCTAGTCTGAAGTTATCACATGATCCTGGTGTAACTTGTCAGAAAAGCCGAGCATCTATGTGTGTTTGTGGAAGTATGTTAGCCTATAAAGATCTCAAGCACTGTGAATCACAGTAGAATGGTCTCAATGATCAGGTGACCCAGAGTGTGAGTAGGTTCATTGTACAGTGGACTTCGGTGTGGTCATTAATATGAAACACACAGAGACAGCTGCCAGGTCATTGGTCTTAAGTGATGGGCTATTTCTTAGTTGCTGGTGAAAAAAGGAGAACATATAGGGACATATCCTATTGTATTTAGTGACATTGTCATCATGAACACTAGAAATGCTCTAATTCAGTGTAGACACAGCACCTAACAAGATCTCAAGGAGCAAATTGGCTGTTAGCCTGGTGCCAACCTCCTCTGCTGATTCTGCTGCACAGCTCGGTTAGAGGGAATCAGTGCCCCACTTGCTGCCACTCATGAAGGGCTATCCCAGTCCTGGAACCAGTGTGAGGATCAGCAGCAATGGACCCCATATCACGCACAAGTGGTGATGAAAAAAAGGGTGAAAACACAAATATCACAAGCTAAGTAGCGGTTATCTTTAAATGATAGGCTAATTGACTCACCAACTTTTGGCTTAACTTAAAGGGTTAATAAATACAATAGCAAATGTTGGCTAGAATTTGATACTCTTTCTGAAACAAGGTAGTCCCTTATCAAGTACAAAATCTTTTAGATGGGGCAATAGCCAGAGCAGCAGCATTTGTGGATTCTAGGAGAAAATGACCCTGTAAGGGATGAAGAAGGGAGGGCAAAATAGCTTAGGTCAGATGAGAAAGGAAGAGCCCAGGGAAGCACAGCCTGCCATGTGTGGTGTTCCGTGTTTCAGGTGGGCTATTTAATATTGTGGTAGCCTGGAGCTACAAACCTAAAGGCCCTGATTCCCTTTCTTTCTGCTCTTATCCTTTCCCTATGACCTATGTCCTTTCCCTCCTTCACCAAAATTATGGCAGGCTGCTGAATAGTTAATGAGCAACATCACCAAGGTGCTGATGGTCACTTTGCATTCTTCCAGGGCCTGCTCTTCAGCAGGAAGACCCTTCCATGGATGCTGCAGAGGACAAGGTACAATGGGATATAAATGGCAGCCCACAGGATGTGTCTGAGTGAAACAGTTGCTTTCTTGACTTTATCTTCTTGAATTGGGATCAGAGAATCTTATATAAGATGAGAAATTTACCATGTAAATTGTACATGACTTACAGAATTTCCTTGGTTGGAGGAGTTTTGATCGAGAATCTCTTCTTGACCGAGACTCGATTTAACAGTGGGAGAAAATGATAGCATCAATCACACACTGTGATGTCACAAGTTTTTGCTTTACCAGGTCTGTTTTCTTTTGCGACAAAAATCACTTAATGGCCAAGCAACGTGGTTGGAAGGAAACATCAGCCAAGAAAACCTTGTCCTTAGCATGAGTTGGTTTACACTGTCCTTCTTTTGGGTTTCATTGGTTGAACACTGGTTTCCATCTTGTTTTTTAATGTCACCAAGTGCAGGAACGTCAGGACACAGCATGGTCTGATGTTCATAGCAATTTATTTTCTGTCATTACAGGAAGCTGCAGGACTGCAGCAAGCTGGTAAGTACTGGGGAACCAATGTCACTGATTAGTAATCCAGATGAGGAATGTGGCACTGTCTCACTGGCTTTCCTGTAGACAGGCAGCCTGAGTTGAGCTTCCTGTTGTAAATGAGGACTTAGACAGTGATGGGAGAAATGATGTTTCCAGATAAGAAACAATGGCCACATTCTACAGTCCCTGGGAGCAATTGTGTTGTCTCAAGGTGGGGTGGGATCTTATCCATGGGGATGGCCCACATCTTTGTGAATTCATATTATGCCATGGTCACTGCGTCTTGGAGTGTGTGTGTTGGTTTCTGCACATACACATCCCTAGATTTACTAGTGTTTACATTCTCCACAGGGATTCTCATTACTGGTGCAGTCTTACTATAGGTACAGGAAAAAATCAACTTGTAAGCTTACAATGTGTGCAGTTGATTGCATGCAAAGAACACTTTAATTAACCTAAAAGAAGTTCTGTCAATGACAAGGCCGATTCCAAAGGCATACCAAAAGAACAGAATTGTGTCAGGATCTCTGCTAATTTTATTTTATTTTTTTCATTCACGAGTCCCTACTATATTTGGTTTTCAAATAAACCTCACCTGTTTACAGGCCTTCCTAGTGCCTCCTGGCATTGCAGTGGCTCACTCTAGCCATTTTCATTCTTCACAAGCCTTTTATACCAAAGCCCTCAGAATTGATCATCCTTGGCCCATCTTCAGCAGGGAGAGTGGGCTGGGGCTTCCTTCTGTGCATTTAAACCCTGGTACAGCCTCATGCTATGGCTAGTTCTGTTGGGAAAGTGAGAAGACAGGAGCCTGAAAGCAGGGTTGGCGTGAAATCACAACAGCATTCTTCATTGAGGCCTGATGCTGCCCATCAGCTAACATGGCCCAGAATAGATAGTGCCCAGGTCATGCAGAGTTTTGGCCTTTTTTCCCTCAGCCTAGTCATGGTTGCTGTGTGGTAGGCTCAGAAACACAGCAATGAGAACGAAAGGGTCTTCCCAGGGGCAGGGTGAGCAGGAGTCACAGCCAGAGCACCACAACTTGTGGATTGTGGATGGAAATGACTTTGGAGGGGATGAAGAAGGGATGGCAAGATGGCTAAGGTCAGCTTAGAAAGGTGGAGACCTGAGAAGCTTCAGGGAAAAATAGCCTGCCCAGTGTCATGTGCTGTGTTTGAGATGGGCTATTTCATGTTGTGGTGGCCTGGAGCTACAAACCCAAAGGCCCTGATTCCCTTTTCTGCTCCTGTCCTTTTCCTGCCACCCTCCTCCTATCCCACATCATGGCATGCCCCTGAATTGTTAATGAGCAACAACACCAAGGTGCTGACGGTCACTTTTCATCCTTCTAGGGCCTGCTCTTCAGCAGGAAGACACCTCCAGGGATGCTGCAGAGGATCAGGTATAATGGGATATGAATGTCAGGTCAGATACTGTGTGTGAGTGAAACACTTGCTTGCTTGACTTTATCATTTTGAATTAGGATCAAAGAATCTTATATAAGATAGGAGGATTTTACCACATAAATCGTAGATAACTTACAGAATTTCCTTGGTTGGGGGAGTTTTGAGAGAGAGTCTCTTCTTAACTGAGACTTGATTTAAGACAGTGGGAGAAAATGACAGCATCAGCCACACAATGTGTGGTCTCAAGCTTTTTGCATTAGGTCTGTTTTCTTTTTGGGACAAAAATCACTTAATGGCCAAGCAACATGGTTGGAAGGAAACGTTGTCCAAGAAAAACTTGTCTTTAGCATGAGTCGGTTTGCTCTGTCCTTATTTTGGGTTTCTCTGATTGAATACTGGTTTCCATCTAGTGTTTTAATGTCACCAAGTGCAGGAAAGTCAGGACACTACGTGGTCTGATGCTCACAGCAATTTATTTTCTGTCATTACAGGAAGCTGTGGGACTGCAGCAAGTGGGTAAGTATTGGGGAACCTCTCATACTGTAATCCAGAAGATGAGGAACGTGGCACTGTCTCACTGGCTTTCCTGTAGACAAGTAGCCTGAGTTGAGTTTCCTGTTGTGAATGAGGACTTACGCAGCGATGGGAGAATTGATTTTTCCAGATAAGGAACAACGGCCGCATTCTGCCTTCCCTGGGAGCAACTGCATTCTCTGCAGGTGGGGTCGGATCCTGTGCACAGGGCTGGCCCAGGTTTTGAGAATTCATGCAGTGCCATGGTCACTGTGTCTTGGAGTGTGTGTGCTGGTTTCCATATATACATATCCCCAGATTTCCTAGTGTTCACATTCTCCACAGGGATTTTCGTCACCATTGTAGTCTTACTATCGGCACAGGAAAAAACTTGTAAGCTTACAATGTGTGCAGTTGATTGCATGCAAAGGACCCTTTAACCCAAAAGAAGTTCTGTCAACACCCAGGCTAATTGTCAAGGTGAACCAAGAGAACAGAACTGTGTCAGGATCTCTTCTAACTATATTTTTTCATTTACTAATCCCTGCTGTGCCTGGTTTTCAAATAAACCTCACATGTTTACAGGCCTTCATATTTCCTCCTGGCATTGGGGTGGCTCACTCTAGTCATTTCTGTTCTTCACAAGCCTTTTCTATCAAAGCCCTCAGAATTGATCATCCATGGCCCATCCTGAGCAGGGAGAGTGGGCCGGGGCCCTTTCTGTGCATTTAGACCCTGGTACAGCCTTATGCTATGGCCAGTTCTGGTGGGAAACTCAGAGCAGAGGAGCCTGCAGTCAGGTTTAGGGTGAAATCACCCCAACTTTCTTCATTCAAGCATCATACTGCCCATCAAGTAACGTGGCCCAGAATAGATAGTGCCAAGGTCATGTGGAGTTCCGGTCTTTTCTCCCTCAGCCTGGTTGTGGTTCCTGTGTCCTCAGCACAGAAACACAGCAACGTGAAAGGAGAACCACATGGTGTGCACAGGGTCTGAGAGGCGGGGTGAGCAGTTGCCATCCTAGTAAGATGGAGGGTGGTCATGTGTTGCAGGTGGGGAAAAACAAATATGGCTGTGGAACTGCAGAGGCTCTGTGAGGTCCCCGTTGAACCCACTCTTGACGAAGATTCTTGTTTACCTCTGAAGACCCTTGGAAAAACCAGTGAAAGCAGTGGGTTTTCTTTAAATATGAATATCAATTGAGCCGAAGTATAGCTTGAGTTCTTTTCTTGGAGTATGCATTTGGTGGAAACTTACTGTATATAAATCGACTTTGATGGCTGTGTAGGTGTCAGTACCTATCCCACATTTTAAAACACTGAGGCTTCTGTGATTGTAAAATGTTTCATGTTAACCTCAGAAGCCACCTCCTCATAACCCAATTCCCCTAGTCCTCTTTAATATCTAGAATATTCTTTGCTTTTGTTATTTTTTTTTTGGTTGCTGCTGTTGTTGTTTGGTACCCAGTGGGCTTTCTGCTGTGAGTGATTAAAGGTTGAGATCAGAGTTAGCAACATTATGGCTCTAAGAATTCATAGACAGCTGCCCAGGTTGGTCTATGAGAGAGAGAGCAGACTACGGCCTTGGCCTGGGTCTGCCAAGAAAAATGATTTAGAGGAATAGAAGGAAGGAGTGAGGGCAGCAAAGCCATGGAGGTGGAGGAGAAACAAAGGTGCAACATCAGGAGGGTGAGTTCTACACCATCACTTGGGCGTGGCCGGAATGTTCAAACCTCATCTGAAGGTGGAGGTGATATCCAACTCCATGACTGGTCTGAATGGCGGGCATCTTCCTAAGAGCCTCAAAAGAGGAGGTACTTTGTTTCGTGTCTTCTCCATGTTTCTGTGTGTTGATGGCAGGAGCACCACCAGAAATTACTGAGAGACAGTGAAATGGAGTGAGTTTATGAAATGTTCAGCTTAGCCCAGCAATGACATGATCAGCAGGGATGAACTTGAGGGTTAGGCCAGACACTTTAGAGTAGTTGCCCGGCTTGATGTCCCTGTGGTGACACAAAGAATAGCTTCTGGCAGTCGCCTGACTGTGCAGGTGGTGCTTGTGTAGCTAGATTCTTATGCACAGCTGGGTTAGAGAGGATCAGCGTCCCATCTTCCACCACTCACGAAGGGCTGTCCTAGTCCTGAAACCAGTGTGAGTATGATCAGCAACGGACCCCATGTAACACACATGAGTTGATGGAAATAAAGAGTGAAAAGACAAATATCACATGCTAAGTAAGGGTTTTCTTCAAATGATAGGATCATTGAATATTTTCATATTTTGTTTTAACTTTTTAATAAGGATTAATACAATATCACTGTTATCCCTTACAAATTGTTAGAAAGTAAAAATAAATACCATAGCATATGTTGGCCAGAATGTAGTATTGCCTCTGAATCAAGGTTGTTCCTTATCAAATACAAAGTCTTTGAGATGGGGTCATAGCCAGAGCCACATTACTTGTGAATTGTGGAAGGAAATGACTTTGGAAGGGATGAAAAAGGGAGGGCAAGATGGCTTAGGTCAGATTAGAAAGAAGGAGCCCTGAGAAGCTGCTGGGAAACACAGCCTGCCCTGTGTGTTGTGCCATGTTTGAGATGGGCTATTTCACATTGTGGTGGCCTGGAGCTACAAACCCAAAAGCGCTGATTCCTTTTCTTTTCTGCTCCTGTCCTTTCCCTGTGACCCTCCACTTTGACCCACATCATGGCCTGCCCCTGAATTGTTATTGAGCAACACCACCAAGGAGCTCATGGTCACTTTGCATCCTTGTAGGGCCTGCTCTTCAGCAGGAAGACCCTTCTGGGGACTCTGCAGAGAACCAGGTAAAATGGGATATGAATGTTAGGGGTCTCAGTGAAACAGTTACTTTCTTGACTTTGTCTTCTAGAATTAGGATCAGAAAATCTTATATAAGATATGAGATTTTTACCATATAAATTGTAGAAGACTTACAGAATTTCCTTGGTTAGGGGAGTTTTGAGCGACAGTCTCTTCTTGACTGAGACTTGATTTAAGACAGTGGGAGAAAATGACAGCATCAACCACACGCTGTGTGATCACAAGCATTTTACATTAGTGTTTTCTTTCTGGACGAAAATCACTTAATGGCCAGCAACATGGTTGGAAGGAAACAACGTCCAAGAAAAATTTGTCTTTAGCATGTGTCGGTTTGCTCTGTTCCTCTTTTGAGTTTCTTTAATTGAACACTGGTTTCCATCTAGTGTTTTAATGTCACCAAGCGCAGGAAAGTCAGGACACAGCATGGTCTGATGCTCATAACAATTTATTTTCTGTCATTACAGGAAGCTCTGGGACTGCAGCAAGCGGGTAAGTGTTGGGGAACCTCTGTCATATTGATGCATAATCCAGAAGATGAGGAATGTGACACTTTCTCACTGGCTTTCCGGTAGACAGGTAGCCTGAGTTGAGCTTCCTGTTGTGAATGTGGACTTAGGCAGCGATGGGAGAAATGATTTTACCAGATAAGGAACAACGGCCACATTCTGTGGTCCCTGGGAGCAACTGCATTCTTTACAGATGGGGTGGGATCCTGTGCATGGGGCTGGCCCAGGTGTTTTTTGAATTCATTTGGTGCCATGGTCACTGTGTCTCGGGGGATGTGTGTTGGTTTCCGTACATACACATCCCCAGATTTACTAGATGTCCACAGAGATTTTTGTTACCATTGCAGACTTACTATAGGCACAGGAAAAAATCAGCTTTTAAGCTTATGATGTGTGCAGTACTTTGCATGCAAAAGACACTTTAATTAACCTTAAAGAACTTCTGTCAATGCCCATGCCAATCCTCAAGGCATACGAAAAGAACAGAATTGTGTGAGGATCTCTGCACATTTTATTTTCTTCATTCACACTTCCCTGCTGTACATTGTTATCAAATAAACCTCATCCATTCACAGGCTTTCCTGTTTCCTCCTGTCACCAGAGTTGCTCACTCTAGCCATTTCTGTCCTTCACAAGCCTTTTCCACCAAAGCCCTCAGAATTGATCATCCACGGCCCATCTTGAGCAGGGAGAGTGGGCCGGGGCTCCTTTCTGTGCATTTATACCCTGGTACAGCCTCATGCTATGGGCAGTTCTGGTGGGAAACTGAGAAGAGAAGACGCTGCAAGCAGGGTTAGGGTGAAATCACTCCAACTTTCTCCATTGAGGACTTATACTGCCCATCAGCTAATGTGGCTAAGAACAGAGAGCGCCAGGAATACATGGAGTTCCAACCTTTTCTCTCTCAGCCTAGTGCTGGATGCTGTATGCTCGGCTGAGGAACACAGCAAAGAGAAAAGACAGCAACATGGTTTGCACAGGGTCTGAGAGGCAGGGTGAGCACTTGGCTCCCTAGCAGGATGGAGGCTAGTCATGCCTTGCAGGTTTAGAAAAAGAAACATGGCTGTGGAACCGCATAGGCTCCATGAGGTTCCCGTTGCACCCACTTGAGAAATGTTCTTTCTTTGCTCTGAAGGC